TTGTGGTGGTTATTCCTTGATATTCCGGAGTCCTTATCCATTTCATTGGTTATCAGCCGTAGGTCTAACCAACCTACGAGCTTTAATAGTCCGCCTCTCCTAGACTCCATGCCAAGAGTGACACCACCCAGATCCCTCGTGCAGAGTCAGCGCCAGCCGCTGCCTCTGGCGCGGACTCGGTCGATTCGAGTGTTGTTACCACCCCTGACCAAAGACCTGAGCCAGCAGTTGAGCCTTCGCAAGCCGCTGCTCCAAGCGCGGGTTCGTTAGGGGTAGGCATCCAAGAGCCTGAGGAGGTTGAGGTGACAACATTGAGGGATTTAGGTCCGCAAGGCGCTGACGCGCTCAACCTATACCTCGACACCCAGAGGCCACCAGCCGCTGCCGCAGGCGCGGGTTCGGATAGCTCGAAATGGGGTGGAGCAGCCTCAGAAGCTGATTCTGGTCCGACGCTCTTTCCGCCATCTGTAATCACACATGAGGATAGAGAACTTGCTCGGACCCACCAGGCGAGGGTGCTGCTGCTGTATGCGCGGCACCCGTTGACCCTGTTGGAGAGACCATCCCTAACTCCTCGGATCAAGTCCATCAGGACCCCGAGCATTCCTTAGGCAATACCCAAGCCGCCTCCGCCGACCAAGACCTGCCGGTCCCGGTGGAGAAGGGTTCGAATTCCCTCAACCTCGTAGACCAAGACCAGCCGGTCCCTACGCTGGACGAGCCTGAAGAATTCGTTCCACCTGAGCGCTTAATTGCACAGGCTTCGTCTACCCCACATATCCCGCCTGTCACCACTAGCAATAATTTCGATCCCCTCGGAGACGACGAAGAGTCAACCGTTGAGGACGAGGAGAACGAAGACATTGCACGACGGATCCAAGAGCAGCACGACCTCGAGGCCGCCCTGGAAGCCACTGCAGTTGAGGCCGGTGTTGAGCCGGAGCCTGCAAACGTCGAAAGTGGAGGACAACAGCCGGAGAGTGAGGGTGGTGAAGCCGCTGCTTCAAGCGCGGGACAGGGGGAGAGGGACCGCACCCGCAGGAGAGGTTGCAGGGCCGGGGCGAAACACGTCCCTGGACGAGAAAACCTCGCCTATGGGAAGACTTCCGAATACATCATCGCTCAACTATATGCACGGTTCGGTAGTCGTTTCCATCTCCCACACATCCCACCTAAGGTGGCCCGCAAGCAATATCAGGAGTGGTTCGGGTACGTCACTCGACACTCCGACAGGTGGGCGTTTAGAACGGACGGGGAATTGCTGCCAGCAGACATTATCCTTCAATGGGCTACCATTCTACCTGAGCTTTGGCAGTTTCTTTATTCCATCAACCCCGCACTGTTGCAAGGTATTCGCCAACCCAAGTGTAGGCTACCCAAAGGGCCGGGCCATCCCTTCGTGCCTCTTCGCCGCGTGCGTTCAGCCGAAGCTAAGATTGCGCCACCAAAGACAGGGTCCGATTTGGGTTCCAAAGCCTCATCATCCGCCGCTCCCCCTCGCACCGATCGATCTCGGTCTGCTGCACCTAAGGCATCTACAGCCGCTCAGGCGACGACCGGCTCATCACATGCTGCCGGGGGTTGGCGCCCAACACTTGATCGTGGCCACATTCCGGTCGTGCTCAAGCCTCGTGCCGAAGTTGAAGCCAAGATCAAGTCAGACAAACCGAAGTCAGAGGCCGCTGGCCCAAAAGCCAAGCAAGCCGCAGCCTCTGGCGCGGGCACTTCGACACCTGCTAGTAAACCTGCATCCAATAGTCCCACTACTAAGGTAACGCCAGTCGCTAATCCTACAAGTGCCGGACCTGCACCGTTGAAAGCGGGGAATCCATCCATCGAAGTGTCCAAGACATCGTCGTCTCTTCACCTTCCCCCTCCACCAAAAGGCCCAGCACCATTGCCTCCCCAAGGTCCTACACCCGAAGTCAGTCCGTCATATACTGTCCCATCTGCCGCTGCAGCGAGTCCGCCTGAGCCTGATGCTGACCGTCACGAAGTGACTGTGATGCACAAGCAGGACGACAATCTCGGTCAAGCAGTGTCACAGGAACGGCCTGACAACACAGGCGAGGAGGAGGAGGCCGGGTTCGAGGAGGAGGAAGAGGTTGAAGAGCAAGGGGCTGCCTCTCGCGAGGCGCCCGTCTCTGACCAGGACCATTCATCACCAAGTGCAAAAGCTGCTGCCTCTGGCGCGGTACCAGTCCGACCGGTCGTTATGACCCCGGGTCCTGGTGCATTCCTACACCGACATTTGACACCGTTTCGTCTCCGCAGGACCCAATGGGACCGTGAACACGAACCGTCAATGCCGATTGAGGAGGCCCGAGATCGAGTCTACGACTTGGACTGGTCGAACACCCCTCAGACCGAGGGCGGCCAGCTATTGCCCCCGTCATCCACCATTCAAGTCGGCCCGAATGCAGACGTATATGAACTTGATGCTGAAGACTCGGATAATAATTCCGACCCTGAGGCCCGTTCTCGCCGCATCCGCAACCTTGAAGGTAGGACTGAGGAGGCTGGCTGGCTCACCTGGCTTGATGGTGAACGTCCTGGGGCTAGTCAACCTAGTCACCCGAAACCTCAACTTGTCGAGCCAGCATCCAAGCGGGTCCGTGTTGTCGTAACCGCCGATGCACTAAGAGGAACGCCCCCAATAACGCCTCCTCATGTTCGACAAGTGATCGTAGTCCCTAAGGGTAAATCTAAGAGTGCATCAACTGCCGACAGACCTAGAGTGCCCATCATTGAGCCTCAGCTTTCGTTGGTAGTTGACCCGGTGTTCGTTCCAGCGGTATCGCCACAGCCGCCGCCTTCGGCGCGGGATGTGTCGCCACCGGTCCAAGCACCTATTGCACCGCCAATTGCCAAGTCCCCTGTTGTCAAGACGCCGAGGTCTCGCAGCGCACCACCGTCCATGGTGCCAGTCCATTCGTCCTCCGCGTCACCACAGGCACCCAAACCGCCTTCGAAGGCGCGTCCGGTTCGCTCAAGGTCTCCCCCGACCAAGGTTAAGCCCCCGCCGCCAGAAGCGAGGCAATTGTCTGCCGAAGCCAAGCGGCGAGCTTTCGAAGCCTTTGAGGAGCGTAACCGACCCGTGCGTGTGGAGACAGACAGCACGGGCAAGCCGCTGCCAACTGGTGCTCGCGTACCAGTAGGCGCGGGACTCACGGCTGCCGCCCCGTCCGATCCAACCCCACCAGGGGATGGTGACGACGACCAAGGCGAGCCCTCGATCCCAAGACCTACTGGGATGTCCCCTGAAGATCTTATTGTTTATCAGGAGTTACTAAAGAAGTTATAAAGTTTACAGGACTTAGCTAAGTGGTTAAGTTGTGAGTGAAAAGCTAGCAACTTAGCAGGTTTGCTAACTGGTTAGCTAACTGGTTAACAGTTTGTATATAAAAATGCACCTCGGTTAGGTTTTTGTGTTTTCTTAATCAAAAATATACATTTACATAAATATTCACAGTGTCTTTGTATATTCTCCCTGATAGACATGCTTGTGAATTGACTGTTTTCTGCTTCAAAAAGCAAAAACAATTTTGTGTGTTCATGTGAAAACACATTCAAGTGTGCCTTGGAATGTGAATCCATTGTCCAGGCTTTGTTGTTTCCAAACACAAACAGAGTTAATCTCTATTTGTGTTAGTGTAAAATATTTTGGTTTTGGTTCCAGGTGTAGTATGTATAG